TCGGACATCAGTCTGTCTTCATTGAAATGATTAAAGACACTTATATTCATGAGAATTAATTTTTGCCAGTTTGATTAGCACTACTATTCTCACATTTCAAAACAGATGATCTAGGTGTGTGGTATTACTGAAGATAGAATTATGTCATTGTCACAAATACAAAAAAGAGTTCTATTTAATGCATTTTCCCTTTGTTATTTCCATAAATACTTAATTGCTTTTACCCTAAATATTACAATTACTTTTTATTTTAAATGATTAGATGCACATGTTTCTTACAAGAAAAACTAACGATATCCTCCAAAGGCTGAATGGGCTACGACTCAAAAAGTATTGAGGTTGGAAAAACCACCTGATGGGAATATTGAAGGGAAAATGCAAGCACAAAACAGATGGTTGATCTAAGTAATATTTATACTTTTTCCCAACTCTGAGATATCATGAATATGAAACAATTCTTACAAGTCTTGAACAGGGCAGAGGCATTGAGAATGAAAAGTAGGCAAATGTGAGAGACTCTGAAGATACTTAATCATTACGATTTGGCACTGATTGAGCGTGAGATGCAAAAGAAAAGGATGAAAAATCAAAGTTACTTAATGTTTTCAGCTTGAGTAACTGAGTAGCACCACTAGCAGAAATAAAAAGGATTAAGAATGAACAGTTTTCTTTTTTTTGCTTGTTTTGATTGTAAAGGAATCCCCCTGTACAGGGTGATTAAAAACAGAGAAGCTAACCTAGTAGTTCTGTTTGTTGGCGTCAGAGATAGTTCCAAAAGGTCAGTCCAGATGGGGCAGGAAGCTCCAGTCCTCCTGACTGGACCTCTAGGGGTAGGGCCCTGAGAAGGAGGCTAGTAGAAGGTAAACAGAATATCTGGCAAATGGGCTACAATTCAGGAACAGAGAAAGAGTAGTTAATGGAGACAGTCTGCCTCTTTGAGAATTGATTCAAGAACAAGGACAGGCTTGATCCTTCAAGGAGCTAGAGAAGGCAGTGGCAGAGTATAAGAGATTTAAGTTAACACCAAAAGACTCAGAATACACTTTGCATGCTCAGCAGAGCCAGTCTTAGTGAAGAATGTCATAAAGAAAATAGCATTTGAGAAAACTCAAGAGGAAAGCTAGAAGCAGAGAGAATCCCAGGAAAGCAGTGCATAAATCTATTCAGAGAGTAATATGGAACTGGATATTACTGGCTTGTTAATGCTGTCCTTGAAACACTAATTATTTGGTACATTTTTTTGAGTAAGAGATGTATGATAATGAATTTACACACTCATTCCTTTTTTTTTTTTTTTCCTTTTTTTGACACAGGGTCTTACTCCTGTCACCCAGGCTGGAGTGCAGTGGTGTGATCACGGCTCACTGCAGCCTCGACTTCCCAGGCCCAACTGATTCTCCCACCTCCACCTCCCAAGTAGGTGGGACTTCAGGTGCATGCCACCATGCCCGGCTAATTTTTTCTATTTTTTTTTCTTTTTTTTTTGTAAAGACAGGGTTTCACCATGTTGCACAGGCTGGTCTCAAACTCCTGGGCCCAAGCGATCCACCTGCTTCAGCCTCCCAAATTGCTGGGATTACAGCTGTGAGCCACCATGCCCAGTCAACTTGCATTACTTTGAAGTGTTGCATTACATATGATCTATTAGTGTGATGCCTAATTAACCTTTAATTCTGTTCTTACCTTAATGCTGAAACCACTTTATAATGAGCTCTGTTGGGCCAGATCTAGTAGTTGTCAAAGCATATTCTAGGAACTGAAATACCATTAGCATCACCTGAGCTCTTGTTAGAAATCCACATTTTTAGAGGCTATCCCAATCTTACCGAAACAGAAACCCTGGAGATGGCAGCCACCAATCTGGTTTTTAACCTTCCAGGTTATTCAAATGCATTCTGAAGTTTGCGAACCATTTCCTCGGGCATTTCAGAACTAGACCTCGTCAGAGATCCAGCTGGGATCACTGTGATAGGCCAGGGTCTATCTAGAATGGTCAACTAGAAATAGCAGGAGTTTACAGCTAGACAGGGCTGGAATCCAACTAGGGTTCTAGCACCTGTTAGTTGTGTGGGGTGTTGAGCAAATTACTTCACTTCTTTGAACCTTACATTCCTCAAACAGAAAATGGAAATGCCTGCCTTTAAAGGTTGCCATGCACAGTGAAGTATATATAGCACCATGGTAATTAGAAGTGCCAGCTCTAGTGTCATACCCAGTTCAAATGGCAGCTACTATGTGATCTTGGGCAAATTACTAAACTTCTTTGTATTTCAATTTTCTCATCTGTAAAGTGAGTATACTCAACTCATAGGGTGGTTGTGAGGATTCAATGGGTTAACATATATATATATATTGCTTAAAAGACTGACTGCCAGGCCGGGCGTGGTGTCTCACACCTGTAATCCTAGCGCTCTGTGAGGCTGAGGCAGGTGGATTATTTGAGGTCAGGAGTTCGAAACCAGCCTTGCCAACATGGTGAAACCCTGTCTCTACTAAAAATACAAAAATTAGCTGGTTATGGTGGCTCCTGCCTGTAATCCCAGCTACTCGGGAGGCTGAGGCAGGAGGCAAATCACCTGAACCTGGGAGGTGGAGGTTGCAGTGAGCCAAAATATTGCCACTCCATTCCAGCCTGGGCAACAGAGCGAGACTTCATCTCAAAAAAACAACTGACTGCCACATAAATGCTTAATTACTATTACCTGCCTATAATGGCAGAAATACAAATAACAATAATAATAATAATAAAATACTTTACATAGATAAAACACCTAGAACTAGAATACAGTAGGTGCTCCATATTTGGTAACAACTGTCATCACTGTCATAGAAATTTTTCCCTTAAAGTATAAGGTTATAAAAGGTTCCAATACATGGGCATTGCCTCATACTTTCACATATTCTCTACATTCTAATGTCTTGTATCCCCTCTGAATAACCTGTGTGGATTATATCAATAACAATTTCCTTGTTTTGATAGTGTACTACAGTTATACAAGATGATACCATTGGGAGAGGCTGAGTAAAGGACATATGGGATCCCTTGGTACATTTTTTTTGGAATTCCTGTGAATCTGTAATTAGTTTAAAATAAAAAGTTTAAACAACAAAAAAAGGGAGCTTGCCTAAAATGAAAACTATTGGGCCTGGAGGCTGGGCCCATAATTCTGTTTTTCTCCAATTAAATAGTTAAAACTAAGTATATATTAAAAAAAAAAAAAAAAAAAAAAAGGCTGGGCACAGTGGCTCATGCCTGTAATCCCAGCAGTTTGAGAGGCCAAGGCAGGTGGATCACCTGAGTTCAGGAGTTCAAGACCAACCTAACTAACATGGTGAAACCCTGTCTCTACTAAAAAATACAAAAAAAAAGTAGCCAGGCATAACTGGGCTCAGTGGCTCACGCCTGTAATCCCAGCACTTTGGGAGGCCAAGGCAGGCAGATCATGAGGTCAGGAGTTTGAGACCAGCTTGGCCAACATAGTGAAACCCCATCTCTACTAAAAATACAAAAATTACCCGGGTGTGGTGGCACATGCCTGTAGTCCCAGCTACTTGGAAGACTGAGGCGGGAGAATCTCTTGAACCCAGGAGGTGGAGGTTGAAGTGAGCTGAGACCACGCCATTGCACTGCAGCCTGGGTGACAGAGTGAGATTCTATCTCAAAAAAAAACAATTAGCCAGACGTGGTGACACATGCCGTAGTCCCAGCTACTTGGGAGGCTGAGGCAGGAGAATTGCTTGAACCTGGCAGATGGAGGTTACAGTGAGCCGAGATCACGCCATTGCATTCTAGCCTGGGCAACAAGAATGAAACTGTCTCAAAAAAAAAAAAAAAAAGAAAAAAAAAAAAGAAAACTAAGCTAGAGAAAAATTGGATGACTCATCTCTCTAAATCAAATTATCAAATTAACATCAGTGGTTGCATAAGGTGTGGCTCACGCCTGTAATACTAGCACTTTGGGAGGCTGAGGCAGGCAGAATCACTTGAGGTCAGGAGTTCGAAACCAGCCTGGCCAACACGGTGAAACCCTGCCTCCAACAAAAATACAAAAAAGTTAGCCAGGCGTGGTGGCAGGCGCCTGTAATCCCATCTACTCAGGAGGCTGAGACAGGAGAATCACTTGAACCTGAGAGACAGAGGTTGCAGTGAGCAGAGATCACACCACTGCACTCCAGCCTGGGCAACAGATTAAGACTCCGTCTCACACACACAAAAAAATAAATAATATCAATGTGTAGCCTTTTAATTCATTATCTTTTACCAGGGGCTTCAGTCAAAATTGTCTGCCTATCACAGCAGAAATACAAGTAACAATAATAATAATAATAATAAAGCACTTTAAATAGATAAAACACCTAGACCTAAAATATGGTAGGTGCTCAATATTTGGTAACAATTGTCCCAAGAGGCTCCCCAAGTTATAAGTCAGAAAAGTCTGGCAATGAAAATGAATGAAGTCCCTATTACCTGATCAACTTTGTTCTCCAGAGAAAATAAAGGTATATTACCAAAGGCTCAAATATTTTTATCTCAAAAAAGCAGCAGCCCAACTGTAACAAAACAATTATATTTTAGTAAGATTTAGCAACATATGGAATTCCTGAGGCCGGGTGCAGTGGCTCACGCCTGTAATCCCAGCACTTTGGGAGGCCAAGGCAGATGGATTACAAGGTCAGGAGTTCAAGACAAGCCTGACCAACATAGTGAAACCCGTCTCTACTAAAAATACAAAAATTAGCCAGGCATGGTACCAAATGCCTGTAATCCCAGCTATTTGGGAGGCTGAGGCAGCAGAACTGCTTGAACCCAGGAGGCAGAGGTTGCAGTGAGCTGAGATTGCGCCACTACACTCCAGCCTGGGCAACAGAGTGAGACCCTGTCTCAAAAAGAAAAAGAAAATCCTTCTTTTTTCAGCCAATATCACCCAGACTTTTGCTCCAGAAATCAAACATAATCTAAGGTATTCCCACAAACAGTAACAGAAACCATAGGATACATATTATAAAGAAAGATTCCATAATCCAGTTTAATGCATAGATCATGAGAATAGTCTAAACTAATTAATTAACAATTATTTTTGAGATTGCATTTGATTAACCAAAATCCTGTGTAAGTCTTCACAAATGTCTGTTTCAGAACAGAGAGGGTTTCTTTATTCAGAAAGTGACTGTAAGAGAATTTTATGGCACACTGAAAGCAAATATCTCCATAGTATTTTAGACTTTCCCAATTCCAAGAGTCATTACAAGTCAAGATATCATTACCTAACACCAAATAGCCTGTTGGAAAACAGGTCTCAGATACAGAATAGGTTTTCTGGTGTTTGGTTATAACAGCTATACTTCACATACACAAAAAAAGCATCTTTGTTAAATAGTCTGTATTAATTATATACTAAATGTTTGTGTTCCCCCAAAATTTATGTTGAAATCTTAACCCCCAATATGATGGCATTAAGGGCGAGGTTTTAGGGAGGTAATTAGGTCATGAGGATGAAGCCCTCAAAAATGGGATTAGTGCCCATATAAGAGAAATGAGAACTTGCTCTCTGGCTACTATCCAACATACAAGGATACAATGAGTAGATAGCCATCTCCAAACCAGGAAGTGAGTTCTCACCAGATACCAGATCTGCCTTAATAATGGACCCCACATCCTCCCTAACTATGAGAAGTAAATGTTTATTGTTTAAGCCACTCAGTTAGTGGTAATTTATTATAACAGCCCAAATCAATATTGAAATGTTTACTAATAATTCTGCATTTTATTACTTCCTTAGTTCAGCAAGTTAAATTGAAATCTCCTAACCAGTTAGATCTACCATATCTTGCTATTTCAGTTACCAATCAGCATGTAGAGCTATTACCAACTCCCTGAAGGACTTCTTTGCCCATTTGATCTATCTGGGAAGAACCAGGAAGTACAGACAATAAACATGTAAACTTGGCAAATGAGTAGTGACAATTTCAAGTAATAAATTAAGCCAATAGACTATCTAAGAATTATAATTCAGGATAATTGTTTAACAAAGTGTGTCATAATTACTTTTAAATACGTAGGGGGTTTTGCCCTGAAATGTATGTCTGATTTATTCCCTAAACTTTCACCTCAGAATGAGCATGATACCAAATCAAGAATTTATATAAATAGAAGGAACTCAATAAACTAGATGCGATAACAACTGAATCTATGTTTTGTTTTGTTTTGTTTTTTCTGGCAGAGCTAGCTGAGGTTTTATTTTGGACCAAAAAAAAAAGGCAATTGAATTGTTTTGTAGCTGGAGGCATGGGTAAGGGGGGTTGCCAGGCAGTAAACTCCACTGAGGGTGGGCTGAGGGCTAGGGCTGAGCATCAGGTGGGTCTCCCATTCTCTGTGCTCCCCTGCACAGTGGCCTCCCTCCTGGTGTCTGAGGCAGCCATAGAAGGGGCAAGCTGGAAGCAGCTGCTGCAGCTGTTCACTTGGGCAGGATGTCAGAGGACTAGGACACCAGCTTCCCATCGGGGGCCTCAATACTCTTCACAACCATGGCCCTGGTGGAACTGGTGAGGCTGAAAGAGCTGGAGCCCAAGCCATAGCTGAGGCCGGGGTTTGTGAGGCCTCCATAGGCCGAGCTCAGACCACCTGCATAGCCGCTGGTGGTCTTCGTATGGATACTCATGTTCTGCATCCCAGACTCCAGCTGGCTCTCCTCGCCCTCCAGCAGCTTCCTGTAAGTGGTGATCTTGATGTCCAGGGCCAGCTTGATGGTCATCAGCTCCTGGTACTCACACAGCTGCCACGCCATGTCCTGCTTGGCTGGCTGCAGAGTGGGCTCCAGCTTGGACAGCTCGATGTTGGCATCCTTAATGGCCAGCTCCCCATGCTGCTCGGCATTGGCAATGGTGGCCTTCATGGAACCCCTCTGGCCTTTGAGGTCCTCAATCTCAACCAGCTGATGTTCTGGAGATCTCAGTCTTTGTATGCTGCAGGACATACCCATGCTTCCCAGCTAGCTTCAAGTCTGCAGCTCCTCATACTGGATCTGGTACATGCTCTCAGCATCAGCCCAGCGGTGGACGGCAATCTCCTTGTACTGCACCTTGACCTCAGCGATGATGCTGTCCATGTCCAGGGAGCAGCTGTTGTCCATGGACAGCACCACAGACATGCCTGAGATCTGGGACTGCAGCTCCCTGCTCTCCTTTTCATACAGACGCCTGAGGAAGTTGATCTCATTGGTCAGCCCTTCCAGGAGAGGCTCCAGGTCTACCTTGTTCGTGTAAGCTTCATCCACATCCTTCTTGATAAGGACAGATTCATTCTCCATCTCTGTACTCTTACTGATCTCATCCTCATACTTGTTCCTGAAGTCCTCCACCAGCGCCTGCATGTTGCCAAGCTCCACCTCCAGCTTCAGCTTCTCCTGGCCCAGTCTCCAGCTGCCACCTAAGGTTGTTGATGTAGCTCTCGAACATGTTCCATGTTGCTCTGAGCCGTCTTCTGCTGCTGCAGGAGGCTCCACTTGGTCTCCAGCATCTTGTTCTGCTGCTCCAGGAACCATACTTTGTCTATGAAGGAGGAAACTTGTTGAGAGTCTTCATCTACTCCTTCTCCTGGATGCACACAGCCTGGATGCTGGGGTCCACCTCCAGGTTAAGGGGGCTCAGCAGGCTCTAGCTGACCATGATGGCAGTGATGCCACCCAAGCTGCTGGGCCCACCATAGCCTCTGCCCAGGCCACCCCAGAAGCTGCTGCTGCCCACTCAGAAGCTTCCAGGAGCAGATGCAGGCACTGGGCCTGCTCATGTAGGAGCCACTGATGAAGGCCCAGGGGCCAGAGGTGGACATCTTGTAGGACTTCTGGGTCACCCTAATGGACATGGGGGAGGCAGGAATGGAGGCAGGCGGGCTGAACCAGGCAGACATTCCAGAAGGAGGGGAGAAGCTGCTTCTTGGTCTCAATCCACATTTTTTATCAAGAGGTATTAGCTTATTTTTCAATTTAAGTGGAGGCCTGCGGCATTTCTATAATACTTAAAGGCATTTTTTGCCGATTTTCCTGTTATATGTCTTCATGTCTCCAGCTTCATGTATACTTCTTTAGGGGTATACACTCTTACATTTGACAAATAGTCCCTGAGTATTTATGTGCCAAGTACTATTAGGTGCTGGGTATACAGTAGTGAACAAAACAAGTATGGTTCTTGACTTCAGAGAGCTTACTGTCTAGGGAGGAATGCAGATTTTAGATAAACAAATAAAATTATAAATTGCAGTTATTTCCTATTTATATTGCCTCTCTCTCAGTTGGTAACTAATCGCAACCCTTTTCCAGGAGTCTTCTGTCTGTAGCTGGAGACATGAAGACATATAACAGATACTTCTATAAACTTCATCATGAAAGCTACCATGAAATTTATTCCAAGAAATACAAAATATTCATCTATTGATATGTTGACAAGATAACTTTTATTCATAAGGTGGGAATTCACTGGTAATTTGTTTTCTTGAACACTGCTTATGATAAAATCTATGATGGCACATAATACACACATATTCCAGCTTTTCAAGAGAATTTTCTTATCCTAAACTCATTTTGAAAAACATTAGTGCTCTGGTTTGCAAATACAATGTTACTTCAATTAAATGAGTCTTTGAGGAATAACAGTTTCGAATGGAATGTCATCATTTGTATTTAAGATCTGTACTGAATTTATATTCAAGTCAACCTTCAGTGTGAGTTATTTCCAGGCACAGCTTGTTTGCCACAGCCCAGCTGATGGCATATAAAGTACTGATGACTTTAAAGTTTCCACTCTGCTTCCTAAGTTTTTACCTTCCTTTCCCCCACTACAATATCCTCTCCAAAGTGATTCCTAAAGTACTCCAGCTCTTTTCATTGCCTCTCCCCCAAAGGAAACTCAGTTGTTTATATCTGTTAAACCCACTGACTTCTTCCATTTTAATTTTTTTTAATCCCCTCTTTAGGCTTAAAAAGTGTTTCCTTAAGGAACATCTACATTTTAAACATTTATCTCTGCACGTTGTTCTACTTAATACTAGAAAGGACCGGGAGTCAAAGATTCTGAAGGAGTTTGTATCAGGGTGTCTTCTCCCTATCTCGCCAAGTTTAAACACACCCAATGCCTCGATTCCTTGCTTCCGACCCGAGTAGCTTCTTTACATCTCCCTGTACATTTGAGGTGTTATTCGTTGATATTTAAATATATTTTAAAATAATTTTCCATTTCTGTCTTCTGAAATTTTTGAATACGTTCTTTCGTATTTCGTGTCATTTTCTGCCTCTGCTAATGATGTCCCTGGTATCCTTGGAGTGCATTTCCTTTTTCAATAGTCACAACATTCCCTGTGAGCTGCCACGGGCCCCGCGCTCCAGAAGTTCATACTTCGTGGTCGAGCAGCTTCTTTAACTTTCTAAGACGAATTATCTAGGACGTGCTATTGTCCCAGGATCACCAGCTCTGCTAAATTCCTACCTGCTGCGGGCGCTTAGTCAGAGAAGATGAATCAGATTCGTCTAATGGGCCCCTTTCCTTTTCCACCCACTGTGCCTGTTGCTTTCCGCTGATCCCAGCAGGTCCCGGCCCCCAGACCCCGCCCAGGACGGCAGGGAGCCCCTGTCCGGGAGCGAAGCTGCGAGTGTTCGACTCAGGAGAGAGCGAAGCTCAGATCTCTCTGCAAAGCGGAGAGAGCAAGGAGTGCCCAGGAAGTCAGGGAACGCCCGGGAAGAAAAGAGCGTTACTTTAACGCGGCGTCGACCCTGGATCCCTGGCATCTAGGGCTGCCTGGCCACGTGGATCAAAACAACTCGCCCTACCGCGTTCCCGGGTCTCTCCTTCCCCTTGCCGTTTTCCCCTAAAGTCTACTTCTCCGTCGCTTCCTCCCTGCCTCTCCGGAGGCACGTGGTCCTTCCCGGCCTGCCCCCTCCACACCCCTCCCGGCCAGGAGCCGGCTCCTCCTAGCGTCGTTTGCTTCCCCTTTCCGTTCGCTCTTTCCGCCCCGGCTCTCCATCGCCCCTTCTGATTGGCCGAACGCACCGGAGCCTGGTTGGCCAATGGGCGAGCTGGGCTGGAGGCAATGGGCGTGGCCGCAGCGCCGGGGCCCTCAGAGCGAGGCTTCCTCCCCCTCTCAGCCGGCAGCACATTCCGCCGCCGTTGCCGCCGCCCGGCCCCACAGTTGTCTTTGCCCGAGCTGCAGTCGCGCTAGGGTTAGGGCGGGGGGGCGGGCGGGGACAAGAGAAGGCCGCGGCGGAGGCAGGTGAGAGGAGGAAGGAAGCGGCAGCGCGGTGGGCACAGCAGCTCAGGCGGCGGCCCGGTTCCTGGGAGTGTCGGTGCAGCGCGGTGGTTGGGGCGGATCCCGCGGGGCCCGGGCGGGGGAAGGAGTCACCGGCCCGGCCATGGCGGACAACGAGAAACTGGACAACCAACGGCTCAAGAATTTCAAGAACAAAGGCCGCGACTTGGAGGTAAACTCGGGGACGACGCCGGAGGGGTGGGGGCCGTGGGCCTGGGGCCGGTCTCCGCCGGGACCCCGCGTGTGGGGAGTAGGGACGGGAGCCGCCTCCGGGCCTCGGGGAATGGCGCTGGGGGCCGGCCCGTCCGTGACGCTTCTGCTAACGCGCCGGGAAGTTTATGTTGGGCCTGCTCCGCCTCTGCCTGGAAGCGAGGTGCCCGGGTACGGCCGTCGCGGCCTAGGCCTGCCCGGCGGAGCCGGCCCGGCGCGGGTGCGAGGGGCCGGGCCGGGCCGCGCAGCTGGGAGGCCGGGCGCGGCGCGGCGCGTGCGGAGGAGGCGTGCGTGTGCGGCCGGCGCTGCCCCAGCCGGGCCGTGGCCCCCTCCCCGGCAGCGGCGGAGATTCCTGCTCTCTCTAGGGCATCGACGTCTGGCGCCGCGGGAAGGAGGGCAGTGGGGGTGGGAGGGTGAGCGTGTGGCTACCGAGTGGGGCTCTGAACTTCCTCAGCGAGGCCAGAGGCGTCTCCACTTAAAGGCATTTTTTCTGGTCTTCCCGACTCCCGCTTTACCCCTGCCTCCCCCCAATATCCAAACTGCAGGAGTCAACTTCTCCGTTGAAAAAAACACCCCCGGCGTGAGAGGCCATCCTGGTGATGCTTACAGTGCCTTCCAGCGGCCTGTGTTTTACTCTGGATATAGCTGATTCAAGATGTGGCTCACGGTGTGCCCTCTTCCAGGCAAAGGATACCCCTTATTTCAGCTTGTCCACAAATCTCTTTACCCCCTCCTGAGAGGAGACCACCAGCTGCATTCTTACATATAAAGTCCAAAGGGTTATACAAAGCTGTCATCCTCTAGTCTACAGTATCCTTTCCCTCCACCTGCTGGTGGTGGTAGTGGGGGATGGGGTGGGCTAAGGAATGGCACCATCACGTTTGATTATTTAAAAAGGAAAAAAAAGCTTCATTGTTTTAGATACAGCTGCTCCCGAGATTCTCAGTCTACGTAAGGTGTATGTGTTAAACACACATGCACACAAGCATACCCACACACCCCACTGAAATTTTTGATAGAAGACTTCTTCCCTTCAGCTTTAAGAATTTAGGTAAATAGATTTTTTTTTTTTTTTAAACTTCCTTTCTGCATCTTAATCACGAGTTTAGCTTTTAGGGAAAGTGGTCAAGCAGTATTTTTTTATGCTGTTCCTCGGTACGTTTTCGTAGTGAAATCTTTAACTTCCCATGGCATGTTTCTCAACATGAGCATTTGCTTGACTAAGATATTTTTTGGGCTTTTCACAAACCTGTTAATATTACCTTGAAAGTAATTGATGCTATTTTAGTGGATTTCATAATTTGAGGGACTACTAAGTGTCCAGGGCTGCTAATTCTGTGATTCTGTTAAGGTTAACATTATTGTTGTGATCCCTTTTTTTTTAATGCAAAAGTATAACTTTTTTATTGAGATAATTCGCATGCTATAAAAATGAGCTTAAATAAGTTATTTTCAGTAAATTTACTTGGTTATGAAAGAATGTGGTGAATATGTTTTCTGTTAATATGCATATTAGAATGAGAAAAAATCACAAATGATGAAACTAAAAAACTGATAAGTACCACAAAATTATAGAATCCAGAAAAATAGCAATTAGGTGCTAGGCAGTTCCCTACAACCCTTTTTTCTTCTACATTTCTGGCTTCATTTTTTAGCAACTTCACTGGGATGTAATTCGCATACGATAAAATTCACCCACCTTACGTGGCTTTTTAGCGTATTCATATAGTTTTGCAACCATCACCACAATCTTAGAACATTATCACCACCCCAAAAAGAAACCTGTGCTCATTAACAGTCAGTCTCCAATTCCCAACGACCCCAGCCCAAGGCAACCAGTTTCTGTCTTTTTATACTTGCCTATCCTGGACATTGTATATAAATGGGATTGTACAATTGTAACTGGCTTCTTTCAGATAATGTAATGTTTTCAAGCTGTATCCATGTTGTAACAAGTATGTATCAGTGTTTCATTCCTCCTTATGGCCGAATGATCCTCCAGCTCATGGATATACCGCATTTTACTTATCCATTCATCAGTTAATGGACATTTTCATTGTTTCCAGTTTTTTAGCTATTTTACATGATACTGCTAAGAACATTTTTGTATGGACGTGTGTTTTATTTCTCTAGGCTATATACCTAGGAATAGAATTGCTAGATCATATGGAAACTTACGTTCAACCTTTTATGGAATTGCTAGGCTTTCTGAAATTATCCTTATTTTTTAAATTGATGTTTCCTCTTACCGCGTATCTATCAGCACTTTAGTCAAGATCAGATTAAGTGCCGAGTCTGTATTACACGAATATTGTGATGTGTGACTTTAAAAAAAATAAGTATATATTGACATTAGCCAGGTTTGTTTTGTTTGTTTGTTTTTTAGAAATTCATAGTGCCTTATGGTTGTCCTCCGGTGACTTTGAAATCCTTGTGTTAACATAAGGAGTAGGAATATTTTCACTTTTCCACCTAAGGAAATAACATATGACTCTGATGGAAAGTCCTACATTGTCCACACTGTGACTTACTCAAAATCACGTACACTTTTAATGAGATAGAAGCATCCTTTTTTATACTTGGAGAGCACTACAGTGCTCTATTTTGTGTATTTGTTACTTACATATATGCCTGTATCTCTCTAAACACCACCCTTTAGGTATGGTTACTACACTGTGTTAGGTAATATGTGTAGAATACAGCAAATTCTAAGAAAATAATTGCTTTTTGATTTAGATCTGATGATGGCATCTATTCCATGGGAGGTCTTTGGAAAGAAGTACGGACCAGTGCTGTCCAATGAATTTAACTTAATCATTGCAACATCTAATTTGTGTAAAATAATTGACATGTTTTATATTATTTCTTTTATACTTCAAAATCCATAATTTTACAGTTATGGCATACCTCCACTTGGACTAGCTACATTTCAAGTGATTAATAGCCACATGTGGCTAGGGGCTACCTCATTGGAACAGCCCATGTACAGAGAACAGCATTTAGGGAGAGGTAATTGTAGCATATTTTGATCTAACAGTTTATTTGATTAGAAATGATGAAGAGTACAAAGTCCTAGAGTTTAGTTTAATCTGATCACTAACTTTGTATATGACCTTGGGGAAAATCACTTAGTCTTATGGTTCTTTCATCTGTAAAACTAGAGGTACTTGACATCTGCTTCATGAGTGTTGTGAAGATTAATAGGTAATGTTAGGAAGATGCCTGGCAATTCTCTGAGTGTTTTATCACCTCCAAGCTTTTCTGTTTGTGGAGAGGGAAGGGATTTAATAGGATTCAGTATAATTGATTATCTTACTCCCTTATTTGCAGTGGCTGTTTTTTCTCTCTGGTGTATAACTGGTTACATTGAACAATTAATAGGGAAAGGTTTTAATACAGAGAGATGTAATTGCTCATTGAAGGGCAGTTTAGACACACCAAATTATTGATCCTTTTAAAGTTATAATTTCTGAGTGTTAGAGTTGAAAGTTATTCATAGATTTCAATCTGGTATTTGTTCCTACCATTCTGGCTTCTCTAAAATGTGGTCATGTTAAGTTTCTTGAAGGACAAAAGCATCAAAGAAGGCATTTGTTGAGTATCCATTTAAAATAATTTTCAGGAACTATCAGATGATATCCACCAAGGCATGGCTGCTTGTTACAGTGTGGTAGAAGATCCCCAGTGTTAGTTTGAGAATAGTCACCATGGAAAAGAGGATATACAGTGCAACACAAGAAATGGATAGTGACCAGACTTCAAATTAAAAATTTGTCAGGATAAAGTAGATTAAACTCATACAATTTATGTTTTTAAAAGTAGCGGGGAATTTTCTCGTAGATTTCCTAATAAACCTGCATACTTGAAACCTGAAAGTTCTGAATGTCTAGGTTCAAATAGAGCATAAAATATAACTCGATCTTTTAAAAACACAACTTACCCTAAATATAAAAGAATATTAAAATGTTACATAATTAGAAACTTGTGATTATGCACACAAACATAGAATATGAAGTTAATTTGGACTTTTAAAAAGGTGCTTGGTTGTGCAGAGCTTAATAAA